CGGAGGTGTCTGGACACTGACGGTGCCCACTTTGAGCATCTCTTGTAATTGCAAAAGCCAGGCGTGACTTGTATTCATCTTTTGTTATTGGTATATATGGTTACAATTTTAATGCGGTTTTTCTTAAAATGCATAGGCCTTTTTTTGACATCCTCTGTATTTCAGATACGGCTGGGGAAAGAGGAGGCACCGGCACCATCACCAGCTCCTTACTATTAGTCGCTGTGTTACAAACCGGAGCAGGCTGATGAGTCAAAACCCAGCCTTGAAAGGCTCTCTCGGCCTCCAGGAATCTGGGCCTGGAAAGGCCAGGGCCTTCTGTAGCAACGCAAACGCTCAGGCACCAGGACCTACTGAAGCAGAAACTGGAGCTCAGAAACCTCTGTTTTAACCAGCCACCGTGTGACTTTGACATGTGCTTGTGTTTGAGAACCACTGCGCTAAGAGCTGGTTCTGCAGAAGAGGAGAGGGGTGGCCCAAGTTCAGGTTCTGCTGTGGCTGGGGTGAGGAGGACATTGCTGTGATGCCATTCGACAGGACTCCAGTCCAGGGACCGTAGAGGAGGCTGCATTTTCCATGTCTGGTCAGCAGTCTCACAGTTCACCCCGTGTTATGAACTGAGTGTTTGTGTCACCCTAAATTTCTTGTGTTGAAATCTGTTTTCAAGTTGGGCTCGGTGGCTCAGCCAGTAATCCCGCACCTTGGGAGGCTGAGGCGAATGAATTGACTGAGCCCGGGGGTTGAAGACCCACCTGGGCAACTTGGCAAGACCTCGTCTCTACAATAAATCAAAAATTAGCCGGGCGTGGTAGCGTGTGCCTGTAGTTCCAGCTACTCGGAAGGCTGAGGCAGAAGGATCACCGAAGCCTAGCAGGTTGAGGCTGCAGTGGCCGGGAGCGGCCACTGCACTCCAGTCTGGGTGACAGAGTGAGACTCCAACTCAACAGAAGAAAAAAAGAAATCTGTTTTCCAATGGGATGGCATTTGGAGGCGGGGCCTTTGGGAACTGATCAGGTCACGAAGATGGAGTCCTCATGAATGGGAGGAGTGCCCTTCTAGGGAGAGAACAGAGAGCTAGGTGGCTCCTTTTCTGCCACCTGAGGACACAAGAAGTCAGCCATCTGCAGCCTGGAAAAGGAACCACCAAATCCAACCGTGTTGGTACCATAGATCTCAGACTTCTGGCCTCCAGACTGTAGAAATACATTTCTGTTGTTTATAAGCCACCCAACCTATGGTATTGTGTTACAGTTGCCTGAGCTAAGAAATCTATGCTATGAAATGAATGCATGCTTGTGTCCACCCAGATTTTTTATGTTGAAATCCCATCTCATTATGACGGCATGAGGTTGCCCCTATGGTAGGTAAGTAGGTCATGAGGTTGGGGTGTGGGTTTCTTACTGCATCCTCACATGGTGGAAGGTAGGATAAGAGACAGAAAAAACTGTGTCCACACATGGAAGTAGAGCAGGAGCACGAAAACGCACTCTCACAAGGCCTTTTCATAGCACTTAATCCTTAAGTGAGGCAGAGCCCTCATCATCTAAACAGCTCCCATTGGGCCCTACTCCCCAACACTGCTGCATTTCTAACACACAAATTTTCAGGTAATACATTCAGACCATAGCAGTGGTTTTGTAAGAAGAGACATGAGAGCTGGTTCTGTTTCTGCTCTCCACCATGTGAGAGTACAATGAGAAGATAGCCTTCTGCAAACCAGAAAGCAGGTGGGCCTTCATCAGACATGAGATCTACCTACACCGTGATCTTGGACTTCCCAGCCAGCAGAAGAGTGAGGGGAAAAAGGTGTGTTGTTTAAGCCACCCAAGCTGTGGTAATTTGCAGTAGCAGCCTGACTGACTAAGACACCCTAAGATATTTAAAAATTCATCAGTGCTTATCCTGACACTCCCAGGAGCCTTTGAGGAGGGAATTGTTTTCCAGTTTGGATTCACTTTAGAATCTTGACTTTAGACTACACTTTCTATAGTTCTGGACTAAAGTTCCTTTTTACTGAAAGCTAACAAAATACAAAGGGCTGTGAAAGAATTCTGTAGAAAGTTGTAAGGCCCAAGGATGAAGACTTGTTGACATCAGTGTATTAGTCAGATCCAACCCAGAAACCAGAAGGCAGTCTAAATATTTAGATGGAGGGAATCTAATGCAGAGGACAGGTGACACATCCAGAGTTCAACAGCACAGAAAGCCACTGCCACAGATGCTAACAGACACAATCTTAATACAGATACATTTGTGAATATGACACTATAAAAAAGGAAGTAAATGAGAAGTTTATAACTAAAAAATAAAATGACTCAAATTGAACACTCAATGAGTGTGTTTAATGGTGGTTTACACACCTAAAGAGAAACTTAGTGAACCGGAAGATAAATCCAGATCCTGAATGAAGCCTGGGTAGGGAGTGAGGGACAAAGGGATGGAAATGAACATTAGGAAGCATAGGAGATAACAGTGGCAAGGTCTAACCTTTTATTTGGAGTCCTAGAAGGAAATGAGAAAGATGGTATAGAGCTAATATCTGAAGAAAAATATAAATCTACAAATTTAAAAGCCCAAAGGATCTGAAGCAGGATTACAAAATAAAAAATCCATGCAAAAACAAATCATAATAAAACTGAAATAAGCAAACAATAAAGAAAAAATCTTAAAGAAGTGATTTTAAAAAGAACACATTAAACCAACAGAAGAACAGCCAGAGTGAAAATCAGAGATCAGTGACTTGAAATCTCCAATGTGACAAAAGAATAGGATGCCCTAACTAGAATTCTATTCCCAGCAAAATTCTCTTCTAAGAATGAAGCTAATTTTAGGCGAACAAAAATTAGGTGAAGTTTCGCCTCTAACAGGACAGAGGGGTCCTAAAGATGTTTTTGAGAGAGAGAGAAAAAAAAAAATGACCCCAAATGAAAAGTTGGAAAACCAACTCATCTTTGACAAAGCCTCCGACAACAACCACTGGGGAGAGGAGAACCTATTCAATAAATGGTGCTGGGAAAACTGGCTGATCACATGCAGAAGATTGAAACAGGACTCCTAACTATCACCATACACAAAAATTAACTCTAAATGGATCAAAGACCTAAACGTAAAACCTCAAACTATAAGAATCCTAGAAAACACAGGAGACATCCTTATGGAAATTGGAACGGGCAACCAATTCCTGATCAGAATCCTAAGCGCCTATACCATAAGAAATAAGATAGACAAGTGGGACCTCATCAAACTGAGGAGCTTCTGCAAAGCAACAGAAACCATCAAGAGAGCAGGGAGACAGCCCACAGAATGAGAAAAAATATTTGCCAACTGTATCCCTGACAAAGCCCTAACATCTAGAATCTACAAGGAACTCAAATGCGCCAAAATGAAAAAAACAAACAGCCCCATTAAAAAGTGGGCAAAAGACATGAATAGACACTTCTCAAAAGAAGATATACGAGCAGCCAACAGACACATGAAAAAGTGCTTAGTCTCATCATCAGAGAAATGCAAATCAAAACCACATTGAGATACCACCTATCCCCAGTAAGAATGGCCATCATTAATAAAACAAACAATAACAGATGCTGGTGAGGATGCAGAGAAAAAGGAACGCTTCTACACTGCTAGTGGGAATAGAAACGAGTGCAACCTCTTTGGAAGACTGTGGTAATTTCTGAAAGAACTAGAAATTGACCTTCCATATGACCCAGCAATTCCCCTATTGGGAATATATCCAGAGGAACTCAAATCATTCTACAAAAAAAGATACCTACACATGTATGTTTGTTGCAGCTGTATCCACAATAGCAAAAACATGGAACCAACCATGTTGCCCATCGAACCTGGACTGGATTAAAAAAATGTGGTACATACACACAATGGAATATTATGCAGCCATAAAGGACTAACATAGACTTCGCAGCAACTTGAATGGATTTAGAGTCAATCATACTCAGTGATCTATCACAGAAACAATGAACAGAATACCATTATGTTCTCACTCATAAGCAGACTTTGAACAATTATCATAATACTATAAGAAAAGGATTGGCAGTGGTGGGAAAGTGCCAGGGGAGGGGGGTAGAATTGGCAGTTGAAGGAAACTGCTAGGGGAGGGAGGAGCACACCTCATCAACAAGGGTACCTGCATAATCAACACTGTTATACCTAACCCTGAATTGTACCCCACATCTTTAAAAGAAAAAGAAAAAAAATGGAAAGAAAAGTTAGAGAAGCAGAGAAGAGTAAACAGCAATGGAAAGTAATTAAAATGACAGGTATGTGGATAAATCTAAACATTTGGTGTAGAAAGCAATAGCAAAATATACATATATATTTAATACTATTTAGAAAGTTTATTCAAAAGTTATGAAATATCATGGAATGAAAAATATTAAGTATAGTCATTTTCCAGAAATATTGACTGTATCTGGTCAAAGTGATCAAATTCTTGATCACAGTCATGAATGCCTACTGACCCAAAGCGTTCCAAATACATGGTGGTATCTTCTTTGAGGAATAAAGTATTAGATATAGAAAATTAGACATTCTGAGTCACAAAATAATAAACAATTTTTTCAGAAGAATCCAGAAAACCAGTATCTTCCATAGAAAGAGGGATGGAAGTAGCCATAACCACCACAGCCTCTGAGGCCATAGCTGGAGCCATAGCCATATTCCAGGTCTCCAAAACCACCGAGGCCATAGCCAAGGCCACCATAGTAGTTGCCATAGTAGTAGCTCATTATATCAGGGGCTGGAGATGTGGTTTGATGGTAAAGGCAAGTTTCTTGAGAATGAATATTACCATCTGCACCCAGACTTTTATACTCCCAAGTTAAGGGTGTGGTAAATCATAACACATGAGCTTCATTCTCTTTGAAAATCCACCTTTGCTGAAAAACAGTACTATTAAGTCATACCTTTCTTATAAAGAGTAGTTCCAAAGATGCATAAAAGTATTTCAAAAAATCAGCCGGGCATGGTAGTGCACACCTGTAGTTCCAACTACGTGGAAGGCTGAGGCGGAAGAGTAGCCGGAGCCCAGCAGGTCAATGGTGGAGTGGCTGAACGTGCAACGGCACTCCAGCCTAGACGAGAATGAGACTACAACTCAAAAAAAAAAACCAAACCCATAGATATATTCAATTCTAATGTTATAGGATTGGCTTTTGTGTTCAATAATTATCTTTAAATATTTACATTTTATATTTAAAACAATGTCTATATTTAAAATGTAATTATAAGGCTACCTTGCATCAATCTGGCATTGCCCAGATTTTTGTCATTTTATCTTACAGTTCAGGGTTAGATACATACGTGGTCATTGTACAGGTAAAGTGTGGGTACCCTTATCGATGTCATAGCAATATATTTTAATATATACCTATGTGCATTTATATATACATAATTAAAATTCACCAGAACAACCGAAATAAGATGTAAAGTAATTGAAGTTAAAGTATTCTAAAAGACTTGCATTGTCTAGGATGAAGATAAGTTTCAATTAACATTAGCCTTTGAAAAGTCAAGAACCAGATCTTTTGATTTCTAGGCCACTAAAAGAAGAGAAAAATTGCTTAACTTCCAAACAAAAAGGGGGAAAAATAGAGTAGAATTATAACACAGGTAGACACTGGACCCAACCTCCTACTGAACCCTCTTCCAGCCAAAGACAAGGCATGTTTGCTTAGAAACAAGACACGTAAGGACATACAAGCATAAAGAGGCTCAGTTACTCACCTGAAGTCACCTGGAAAGTGAAAAACTCCACATCCAAGCCCGAGCTCCCTGGGGGAGACACCATGCTCTCAGCCACTACACTTTGCTGCCTTTGCACAAACCAGTACCATCCACAGCCTGAGGACTGCCAGGTCTAGACGGGAAGTTCCTTGGTGGGAAGACAAATGGCACCAAGACACTGAATTCTGCTTGCTGTCTCTCAGCAACGCCCTCAGCTGGTGCTGGAGAGGAGGCATGGAGAGTCCTCCCAACCCAGGGACTCTCCTGGGGCAGCTTTCCCCTTTTCCTAACATTCTGGTGCAGACAGACTTCAGACCCTACTGTCTGTATTCAGGTGTTGTCCTGGTGATTCCATTTTTTAATCTCATGAAGGAACTTGTTTTGCATTGCAGCACTGGCGTTCAGTGCCATTTTACCCCGTCCCCCATGTGAACAGATGCAATGGTTTCTCAGGTTTTCACCTTCAGACACATTTCCTAATAAAACCAGAGCCATGCATTTCTTCTCCACGGTTTATTCAAGCTCTTACCTCCCACCACACTCCCTTTTATTTTTCCTCTTGCGCGTCATCCTCGGGAAGGGGTAGGGGCTCGTCACAGAACACCTTTGGCCCTAGGCTAGCCTGAAAGGCCTCAGCCCACACCAGCTCACTGGATTTGTGCCACAAAGTCCATCTAGGGGACTGAAGGCTGGGACACCTGCCAAACCGCGTTTGGCCTAGCACTCGTACCTGGCTGGAGGAGTGTCCAAAACACAGCACCGCAGAAGTGTGTCCTGCCCAGAAACGGGGGCCCTCAGAGCACCCTTGGAAGGGTGGTCTCCTTATTCAAGCTGCTCTCCCAGAGGGTAGGCGGTACCTGAGGTTCATGAAGTCTCAAGCAGGGGCCTGTGAGGGCACGTGGAAACCTCAGGTCACCTAACTGTTCAGCACAGCCAGACCTGGTCTTGTCCTCACAGTCAGAAGACTGATCCACGTCCTGATGACTGAACACTGTGCTGGGCCCAACACGAAGCCCATCCCCACTGTCACGCCACAGCAGCCCTTGCCAGGCTGCCCAATTTCCCACTCGAACCTTGGAAAAGCCCAGTCAACGTCATGCCCAGAAGCCACCACTTGCCCGCCCCTGCTGACTGGTTGTGGTCTCCATGCGCTGAGCACCTGCAGTCTAGCCCAGACCTCCTCTAGAATGGTTGCTGTGGCCTTTCCCCCTATTCATCCCTACTCACCAGGATCGAGTCCTGGTTCCATCCTCTCCCACCCAGGGACAGTTCCCATTACAGGGGACTATGCCCAGCAGATGCTGAGGTATTCACTGAATAAATCAGTCCAAGTGTGGACAGGGTCAGGCCTGCCAGTGTCCCACATACAGAACAGGGAGTAACTGTGGCCAGCACATTCCAAAGGGGTCAAGTGGCAGAAAGGGTATCTCCCCACCTCCACCCAGCTCCACCCCTCTCCTCCGTCAAAACTTGTGGGTGGGAACTGGAGACGAAGTGAAAGAACTGCATGCCTAGAAAGGTGTGGAAACTTACCTGGCTAGAGTCCATTCTCTTACAAAGAAAGAGGGTTTTGCAACCAGAGACCAGATTTAGAACTCAGCCTCTATGAATAGTATTCTTGGACAGGTAACTCAAGTCTGAGAAGTCCGCTGTATCCTGATGTATGGTGGCAGCCCCAAATCAGACAGTGCACTCATTTGATGCTTACCTATTCCGAAGAAAACACCCAGAGGACAAGTTGGCAAAGTCATGGGTTTATTATTACTCATGAAAGGGAACTGATGGCAGCTGGTCAGTATAAAGCTTCTCACACCCCAATAGATGTCGGGGGAGGGGGGTATTATGCACCCTCAGTGTGAGAAAAGGAGCAAGACAGCAACAGCATTACAAGCAAAAAAGCAGAAACAGAAACTGCCTTGAGTTTGCAGATGTGCGTATCTTTTTTTTTTTTTTTTTTGAGTTGGAGTCTCACTCTGTCACCCAGACTGGAGTGCAGTGGCTGCTCCTGGCCACTGCGGCCTCGACCTGCCGAGCTCCGGCGATCCTTCCACCTCAGCCTTCCAAGTTGCCGAAACTACAGACGCGCACTACCATGCCTGGCTAATTTTTTGATTTATTGTAGAGATGAAGTCTTGCCAAGTTGTCCAGGTGGGTCTTGAACCCGCGGGCTCAGGCAATTCACTCACCTTGGTCTCTCAAAGCGCGGGATTACAGGCTGAGTCACCGAGCCTGGCCCAGATGTGCATATCTTTAAGGGCATTTAAACTGGAGACACATGGCCGTGGCTATGGGGCATTCTCCCAGCTGAGAAACAATGATCAGCATGGAAATGGGGCACATGTGCTGCATCTGTGGGCTGTGTCATCCCACACCTGAGTTACCTGTAACAGCCTTATGCACAGTTCGCAGCATTTCATGCTAAATTCTGCCTGCTGCTGACAGAACTCTGTGGTGACTCATCACTGACACAGCCCATCTGCTCCCCTGAGTTGGGTCCAGCCCAGTAGGTGGCTTGAAGGGTTCAGCTGCGTCCCCTCAACATCCACCAGGTGCTTCTCCAAGTGAGGCACCTTCTAGCATCTGGTGAAACTGCCTAAGGCACCAGCCCTGTGGGATGAGGCCCTGATGCCCTCTGATTTGGAGCTGGTAAAGCTTACCCCACAAACATCTGACCAAAGGATGATTCTGTATATCTATTCGTCTGATGTCCATCACAGCCTGTATTCATTTAAGGAATTTCTTTATTGGAATTCCACCTTACCTCACCACAATGATCTGGCCTTCATGGCAAAGAGAGTGAGCCCTGAACAAAGTATTAATAACATTGTACAACAAACAGTTATACACAAGTACTGCTTCACATCTTTACAATAACACATTCCAAAACAAACATTTGACAAGATTAAGAAACATGAATTTCCTCCTATTACTGGTAGCCACTTAGTATTTTAGCTCTTGCAATAAAATGCCCTCCTTCCTAACATTCCTTCTCATGGGACTCCCTGAATTAATCTTTCTATCATGTAAGGTGCAAATTCATGTTGTAGATGTGTTCCAATAATTACTGAATGTCAAAATCCTCTCCACAGAAGCTTTTATTGTAGTGTCACGTGTTCTCATTTTCAGGTTCTCACTCACAACACTCATCATTCATTGAGGGGGCTCATCCGAAACTTTTTAAAAGTTTCGTCAACTAGTGTATCACCATAGTGTATTTGCAATTTTTATGAGTGACTCTCCCATCTCCTGTTAGATTCAGAACAGTCTATGCTTTCTAATTTTCCTACAGGTAAATCCAAATTTTGTTCCAGAAGTCATCATCACTGTCCCCCTCAAACATCTAATTATATCAAGCTTATTCTTCAAAATCACTATTATCAAACTTATCTTCCCTGAAGCCTCTCTCTCCCTGAATTTGCCTGTTGGAGGCCATTTTTAGAATTTTTCCACTGACCAATGTATAATTGGGACTCAAACTATACCTGAATTTTCTGCATTTTTATTCACAGAATTTACCCAGATATGAACTTTCTGATGGTGGTTATGTGACAACTCATTAAAGTCCTTTTCTCTTTTTTTTAATGTCCACAAATGTTTGCTTATTTTAAAGATTTTTTTCACCTTCTATCACTTGGATAGGTTTTATACCCAGTATGGACTACTTTATATTCTACAAGGGCTAAGCTACCTTGACACTGAAGCCTTCCTTGCTGCTATGATTGAAGATCACATAGGACTGTACTCGCAATCCTCTAGAATGGTTTCATCTGTACTGTGTAAATTATAAGCCATGGATAAGGACCTCAGACATTCTTACATTCATAAGCTTCTTCTTCCATTGAGCTTTCTGAGACTTGGCATGCTCCGCCCACTACAGAGGCATCCTCATCCTGGTCCCATCCAGAACACTCCATCCCTCGTAGGTTCTCATCTGGGATACTCCACTGTAGCTTCCCACATGTATCACACTTAGAGATTCCTCCTCAGTGTGGATTCGTCTATGCTTCGTAAGGTTTGATCTGATATTAAAAGCCTTACCACACTCACTACACCGGTATGGCTTCCTTCCAGTGTGAATTCTTTTGTGCTGGTCAAGGACTGACCTATAATTGAAGGACTTTCCACACTCACAACTATAGGGTTGCTTTCCACGGTGGACGCTTTTATGGTTGATAAGACTTGAGTGTGAGATGTACGCCTTCCCACACTCGTCACATGCATAGGGTTTCTCCCCTGTGTGGATCCTTCTATGTACTGTGAGGCCTGAGCAGTTCCTGAAGGTCTTTCCACACCAATCACATACATAGGGCTTCTCCCCTGTGTGGATCCTCTTGTGCTGAGAGAGGAGTGAGCTGTAACTGAAAGATTTCCCACACTCAACACACTTGAAAGGTTTCTCCCCAAGATGGACTCTTTTATGGCTTATAAGAGTTCTGCTTGAGAAAAAAGCTTTCCCACACTCATCGCATGTATAGGGTGTCTTCCCAGGGTGGGTACTTTTATGGTTAATAAGGCTTGAATGTGAGATGTAGGCTTTTCCACATACATCACATTCATAGGGCTTTTCCCCAGTATGGATTCTCTTATGAACCTTAAGGCTTGAGTTATTTCTGAAGACCTTCTCACACCTGTCACATTCATAGGGTTTCTCTCTAGTGTGGACCCTTTTGTGTTGAGAAAGGAGTGAGGTGTAGTTAAAAGACTTCTCACACACATCGCATTTGTAGGGCTTCTCTCCAAGGTGAACTTTTTTGTGGTTTATAAGGGTTCGATATGTGATAAAGGCTTTCTCACACTCATCACAATTAAAGGGCTTTTCCCCAGGGTGTACACTTTTATGATTTATAAGGCTCGAGAGTGAGATGTAGGCTTTCCCACATTCTTCACATTTGTAAGGCCTCTCCCCAGTGTGGATTCGCTTATGTACCTTAAGGCCGGAATTATTCCTGAAAGCTTTTCCACACTCATTGCACCCAAAGGGTTTTTCCCTCGTATGAATCCTTTTATGCTGTTCAAGGGCAGAGCTGTAGTTGAAAGATTTCTCACAGTAGCTACATTTATAGGGCTTCTCCCGAAGGTGAATTCCTTTGTGATTTTTAAGGCTTGAGCGTGAGATATACGCTTTCCCACACACATCACACTTATATGGTTTTTCCCCAGTATGGAGCCTCCTGTGGACTTTGAGACCTGCATTGTTTCTGAAGGTTTTCCCACACACATCACATACATAAGGTCTCTCTCCAGTATGAATAGTTCTGTGCTGAAGAAGTAGCGAGTTATAACTGAAGGATTTCCCACACTCCTTACATTCATGGGCCTTCTTCCCAGGGTGAATGCTTTTATGGACTGCGAGGCCTGAGCTATAGCTGAACGCTTTGCCACAGACATCACACTTGTAAGGTTTCTCGCCTGTGTGGATCCTTTTATGTACAATGAGGCCCGAGCTGTTCCTGAAGGCCTTCCCACAGTCATCGCATTCATAAGGTTTCTCTCCAGTGTGGATGACCTTATGCTGAATGAGAAGAGAGCTATAATTAAAGGATTTCTCACACTCATCACATTTATAGGGTTTGTCTCCAAAGTGAATGCTCTTATGGTTGAGGAGCGTTCTGCAAGTTATGAAGGCCTTCCCACACTCATCACATTCGTAGGGCTTCTCACCTGTGTGGATCCTCTTGTGGACCCTGAGGCCGGAGCTGTTACTGAAGGTTTTCCCACAGATGTCACATTCGTAGGGCTTCTCCCCTGTGTGGATCCTTCTGTGGACCCTGAGGCCAGAGCTGTTCCTGAAGGCCTTCCCACACTCGCCACATTCATAGGGCTTTTCTCCAGTGTGGATCCTTTTGTGTTGGTCCAGAACAGAGCTATAATTGAAGGATTTTCCACACTCATCACACTTACAGTTCTTCTCCCCAGAATGGGTGCTTTTGTGGTTTATAAGGCTGGAGTAGGACATGTAGGCTTTCCCACACTCCTCACACTTGTACGGCTTCTCCCCAGTATGGATCCGCTTGTGGACCCGAAGGCTCGAGCTGCTCCGGAATGTCCCTCCACACTCATCACACTCATAGCGCTTTTCCCCAGTGTGCATAATTTTATGTTGAACAAGGCGGGAATTATACTTGAAGGACTTCCCACACTCATCACATTTATGTGATTTCTTAGCAGCACTGGTTTTCTGACGTGGATTGGGGCGGGAGTTTCCATTTATGTTCTCCACACATTTGCCAGGCTCACTGCTTTTCTGTCCCTGAGAGACAGTCTGGGGTGTAACCTGTTTTGGGATCAGATGTGAACTCTTCTCAGATGCCTCCTCCTCCTGTTCCGTCTTTACACTGGCCATGTTCTTGGTTTTGCTGATCATCTCCCTGATGCTGCTTTTGTCTTCCTTCATCCTGTTTCCCACAGGTTTTTCCTGTTGATTCACTACCTTGCTATCCCAATCACGCATGTCACCAACCTTAGATTCCCGCACAGAATCCTCATGAAGACCTTCCACTTTTGGCCACTTAGATTCTGCATTTCCAACATCTCCATACTTTTCCATCAGTTCCTCATCCTCAGTGCTTGTCTCCAAATGTGACACTAAAGGAAGAAAACGAAAAAGAGAGCTGTTCACTTTGCTCAGAAAAAACTGGAAGACTCACATCAAAACTCACTCAGTCACTGGAAAAATAGTTACCAACTGCATGTGGTACGGCAGAAACCATTCTGAAGTACTGGGGATACAACAGTGAACACGACAACATTTCTGACTGTGGAGCTAATGTTAAAACCAAAAGTCCTGGGCTTCAATGGAACAAACAACTTTTCTAATTTTGCACAACAGCTTCACATGAGGGCATGGTGAAATGAAACACAGAACCAAAGTCAATACCCATCAGGCTCTGAACAATGTCATCTAGTCATGGAAAAACAGGATGAGAGAACTATATGAAGATTGGAAGACAGAAAAATTAGTAAGCAGGACAAACAATAGGCATAACTTTTTTATCATGAAAAGTTAAAATCAACAGAGGACAGGCAGAACTAAAGAAGAGGAGAAATTAGTACATGGAAAGAGGTACAAAGGAATTGGATGGTTACAAAATCTCAACGACACTCATTGCAGAGATGAGAAAGAACGCAACCTACAGCTGCCAGGAGTTGTTTAGCCTCCTGGACATTCCTTCCAGGAAAAGCACAGACTATGGAGAGCAAAGAGTCAGGGCAAAACTCTATATGGAAAAACATGCTCTGGCTTGCCAGGAAAAGAGGTTTTCATTCCTACTTATGAACCAGCTACTGCAGCTGGGGCATATCCAAGATGAAAAACAAAATCACAAACCATCAAGAAAAGGGATTAATATCACCTAGGTTAACATACTTAGATTTATGACCTGGAGAAAGTTACTTAATATCTTTGTGTAGTGGTTTCCTCATTTGTAAAATGAAGGCAATGGGGGTCTTTGTGAATATTAAAGTGAGATAACATACGTAGAGTACTGAGAGCAATGCCAATTACTAGGTGAGAGCTATGTTATCATATTTTATTACTTATTATAGTATTATAATTAAGAAGTTGAGGTCAGATTACTGGATCAAGGTTAGAACCTGGGGATAAAGCATATGATTCCAGAAAGGCACATTCCTTTCCAAAGAAACTCAAGGGCCCAGGTAGGGTCGCTTTATTCCCTTGAAGGCCTCTACACATGACTGGTACTCCGTCAGAATTCACCTATTTGACAGACTGATGTGAGAACAAACAAAACAGTTCTAATTATCACTCAGTCTTAGACAATTAGACATATGTGATTAGACTTCCTATATAACCACCAGCAATCTTTATATCCCCTGAGAGGGGATATCAGAGTGGTTTGATAGATTTACTATGTCCTCTCAGAGGGGACATCCGAGTGCAAAGGGTTAAGCTAAGAGGAGGTCAAAAGGAAAGTAAGATATAGACTCTGAAGTAGACACTTAAAGAACCAAAGCATGATACAACTTATTCTTACAGGAACCATGGATTGAATTTAAAATTTATAAGTTCCAGAAATGGCCACAGAAAAAAAATTTACAAAACAAAAAAGCTAGGGGCTCAGGAAATCATCAGGAAGATCAAATAAAGCAACACACTGCAGACATTAAATCAAAAGATGGTTTAGCTGAGAGCATCCCAAATTGACTATTAGGTAATTCAATATTAAATGCTAGCAAGTACTAAATAAGAGATCATCAGTGGCCACTGAGGAATGGTGGCACAGCCTCACTCACTGCCTCTCTTTATTACTTTGGACAGAGCAGTCCATGTTGCTTAAAATATGAAAGCTGGAATCAGAGGAAGATGGCGGCAGAGCCAGTCAGACTATGCAAGTCCCAGTGTGAGCATATGCAAAATTTTGCATATGTCTCAGTGAGTAAGTGGGCGTGTGAGTGGCTGACTGAGTGGGGGCTTGGGAGCAGGTGGCCGGGCTCTCCTGGTGAAGCAGCTAGTGCCACAGCTGCTCTGCTAGGACCCTAGTGCTTCCCAGGGTGCAGAAGCCAACCGCCACTTTTTTTTTTTTTTAATCAACAAAGCCCTTCCTGGGAAGAAGCTGCTGGGAGACTGAGTGGCAACTCGAGAGCAAGTAGCCAGGGCTCTCCTGGTGAAACAGCTGGTGCTGCAGCTGCTCTGCTTGGTCCCTGGTGCTTCCCGGGGAACAGCAGCTGAACACCATTTTTTAAAACCAATAAAGGCCTTCCTGGGAAGAAGCTGCCAGGAGACACTGCCGGCTTTAGGCTCTGCTTCCCCACCACAGCGGGAGAGACTGCTGGCTCCAGGCTCAGCCTCACCACTGCAGTACCTGGCCAGACTCTGGCAGTGACAGCTGCAAAGGAAGCACAGTGAGGGAGCCCAGAGACGGAGCCCCACTGGAGAGAACAAAGGAGGCACTGTGTCATCATCTTGAAAATGGAGCCGGGCTCAGTGGCTCAGCCAGTAATACTGCGCCTTTGGGAGGCTGAGGCGAGTGGATTGCCTGAGCCTGCGGGTTCGAGACCCGCCTGGGCAGTGAGACCTCATCTCTACAATAAATAAATAAATAAATCAGCCGGGTGTGGTAGCGCAAGCCTGTAATTCTGGCTACTTGGAAGGCTGAGGCGGAAGGATCGCCGGAGCCCAGCAGGTCGAGGCTGTGGTGGCCGGGAGCGGCCACTGCACTCCAGGCTGGGTGACAGAGTGAGACTCCAACTCAAAAAAAAGAAAAAGAAAAAGAAAATGGGGCAGGAATGTGCTCCAACTTGCTCACCATGGAGCTACAGACTCAATCTCTGTGACCAGTGGATTAATTACTCAGGGGTTGATCGTGACCCAGAGGGAATATCCTGAAAACACAAACTCTGGAGGAACAGGCACCCCACCCTGATTCAGCCACAGGACAAAGGGTGTGACCAGAAAAGGACAGATGAGGAAGACCTCTAAAGAGATCAGTGGTGAATCTGGGGTTGACCCAACCCCCTCCTCCCACACAATACTCTGAACATCAGACCCACAAGGCTGGGGCATGAATGAGAGAGACGAACCTAGACGGAACCTGGACATCAGCCACAATAGGAGGACTCCACTCCAGGATAAGCCTGGCAAGGACACCCCCCACCAGTACCTGGGGAAGAGACAATCCCACACCTCCACACTGGACAGGATTCCCCCTGACCAAACTAGAGTGGGAGCGGAGAACTGCAGCTCCACTCACCCTCCACTGCCCCTTTCTTCTATCCTGGGTCGGACAATGAGGAGACTATGAATGAGGCCAAATTTCTACAGGAAACAGCAGAGAAGCAGCTGAGAGGAACAATTACAGAAACTGCCATAAGAGGGCAGGTTTTATTTTAGTGTGTTTTAGTTTAAAAGTTTTTTTTCTTCTTCCTTTGTGCATGAATGTGTATGTGAGGGTTCGATTTGCATCCTCTATCCTTTTTTCTTTCTTTTGTTGTTTTTTGTTTATGTGTGCATGTGAATGATTGAGTGTTAATCTTTCCTTTTTTTTATTGGTTTGTTTTTGCTCCTTTGTTCTCTTTTTTTTAACTTAATGTGTGTGAATACATGTGTGAGGGTTCAAGTTGAATTCCTTTTTTTTCTCACTTTTTCTCCTCCTTTCATTTTTTGTTGGGGGTGTGTGGGTGTGTGTGTGTGTGTGTGTGTGTGTGTGTGTTGTTGTTGTTGTTTGTTTTGCTTTGTTGTTATTCCAGTTTGTTTGGTATGTGTCTGTGTGCATTCAATTGTTTTGTGCTTTGGTTTCTGCTTTCATTGCCCTGCGTGTTTTCTTTTTTTTATTTATTTTAAAGATGTGAGGTACAATTCAGGGTTAGGTATACAAATGTTTATTATGCAGCTTTTTTTTTTAATTAAAAAAAATTTTTGTCCATCTTATTTCATTCTACTTTTTTCTGTTCTCCTCACTGCTGTTACCATATCTTGGACTCAAGGGGGTACACACTCGTATCCATTGCACCATCATACAGAGAGGTTGTGGAGAGTGGGGTCTCAGGGAATCCATACCACAATCAATGAACATTGTGATCTGCAAATAGTTTCTGAATCCTAGCTCTCCCTACTCTGCCTTATTCGACTCTAAAACTACAAGAGACAGCTAAGCATTCCACCTGCAGTTCTGTTTCAAAATAAAACAAATCCAGAGCCCTGATCAGGGAAGAATAGAGGGTTAAGCAGACACCAGAAGTGAAAGCCCCTCCCACTGACACTGAATAACAGAAGCAAAGAGAAAAAAAAGATCTGTCACAAATAAGGAAATATCAACAGAACACCACAGGTAATTTCCAGTGTAACAAAGAGAAAACACCTGAAAAATCAGACCTCACAGCCCAAATAATGGAAGTCACCAATGACTGGTCCCAGAATACAATAGGGATGGGAAGAGTGACTAAGACTCAAAAAGACAAGATGCAACACTGAAAGAACTTGCAACAGATTTTTGGGCATAAAAAATTTCATCCAGGAAATAAATAACAAGATGACAAGCATGGAGAGCAGAATTAAACAAACAGAAGAATTCTGGAACTTGAAGACCAAAATATGAAATTAACCTGTTCTGTAAAAAACATAGAAAGAAAGCTCAGAAAGAAAGAACAAAGTCTGCAAGAGTTGTGCAATTACAGCAAGAGGCCGAATTTACGCCTGATTGGTATCCCAGAAGAAGAAAGGAAAATGGAGAACACCTTGAAGCAAGCATTCCAGTAGGTTATCCAATAAAACTTTCCCCATCTCACCAGAGGTATGACCATCAAAACACAAGCGATACAGAGAACCCCCACAAGACATGAGAAGACCAGTCACTAGACACATGTAATTTACCTACACAAAGTGGGCACAAAAGAAAAAAATCCTAAAGGCAGCAAGAGAAGAAAGTTCAGATTACCTACCAGGGAAAACCAATCAGAATAGCAGCAACGGTATCAGCAGAACACTACAAGCTAGAAGGTACTGGAGCCCAATATTCAAAGTCCTCAAAGATAAACAATTTTAACCAATATTTCCTACCCTATCAAGCTCAGCTTCATCAGTGATGGAGAAATAAAATCCTACCCAGACAGCCAATCCCTAA